TGAATTTTATATGCAGTTTGTTGGGATGATAAGGGAAATGTGTTTGACTTTTTATCATATCACTCATCTTCTGTTACAGCAGACATGTCTTTTCAAAATGTTGTACCTTATTAAGATAGTCTCGTACTTAATTTATCCTAGAAATTCTATGGTTTTTGGGTAATTGCGTTTGTTTCAATCCAGAAATCTAGAGGTTTTAATTAATTCTTGTGTTTTTTTTTACTTCGTGGGTGCAACTATTATTCCATGATTGCCATAGTTGGTTTTGTGATTTCTTCTATTTAAATTTTTTGGTCAAACTAACGACGGCGTTCGATTTGGTCACAGGACCTGTTCTTTTATGTTCTTTTTTTTGTAAGAATAATTTTGATCATTTTAAATTTTCCATTTTTGTTGTTGTAAAACTTATTCATGTAGCTGTGCCCTTTTCCCTTGGTGAGATGAGGGCTTATTTGCTCTTCTGCTCTCTCTCTCTCTGCTGCAGATTGTTCCTTTTGTTTATTGTAGGGAATAGAATCATTCGTTGATACGGCTCACATATTTGCTGCTTGTTAATTGTGCGAGTAATGTCGGATTTTGCGCGTCAAAATCTGCAAAAAACTTGAAAAAAAGTACTAATTCTTATTATCAAAGAAATAAAACTAATTCTGTGTCCCTTTTTTCAGAATTAAATTGACAGTGGTTGATTGATATATATCAGTCATTGTGTTAACTTCTCACAATCGGTATTATTTTTTTTTGTTTTTTCTGGCACGCCCATGGTTGCAATTATATCTCATTATTTAGTGACAGCTATTGTTGACTGTTATGCATGTGATGCTTATTTTACTAAGCTCCTTCTAACATATAGTGGTGGCTCTTATGTTTTCACTGCCAATTTTGCAGCATATTGTGTAGTTGCAATAGAGTCAGCTGGCAGGCAGATTCCCATTGCTTTCTTGGATAGAATTAAAGAAGATTTTACCAAGAGATATGGAGGAGGTAAAGCTGCAACTGCTGTTGCCCACAGCCTTAACCGGGACTTTGGGTATGTTTTATTGCTAAAGTACACATAATCTGTTTCCTGCTATGCTTTTTCACTACAGCTAATGCTCAATTGACACTTATTTCAGGCCAAAACTCAAGGAACACATGCAATATTGCGTTGATCATCCTGAGGAGATTAGCAAGCTGGCCAAAGTGAAAGCTCAGGTTTCTGAAGTCAAAGGTGTTATGATGGAAAATATAGAGAAGGTAATAGAATACTGGGGCATTTACATACATACCACCCCATTCCTGTGCATTTACATATCTGACACCTCTACTTTACTTTTCATATTTATAACACTAATCTTTCATATCACATAAAAAATACTACTATTGTAGCTTTTAAAAGGTGAAATACACCTTTGATAAATTGGTAAGGTGGGCATATATGTAAAAATAAGAAATGAGACACCCTCTGAAATTCTGCGTTACTGACATCTGATTCATTTACATGCTTCACCTTCTTGTTGGTTCACTAGTTACAAAACTTGTCAATCCGCCTTGCAGGTTTTGGACAGGGGAGAGAAAATTGAGCTTCTTGTTGACAAGACTGAAAACCTTCGTTCTCAGGTTATTAAGCCCACCCCTTTGCTGTCTTATAGTGCGGCCATTGCCTTCTTTCTTCAAATCGTAATTCCTTCTCGTTGAGTTTGCAGGCTCAGGATTTTAGGCAGCAGGGAACGAAGATAAGGAGAAAGATGTGGCTTCAGAACATGAAGGTGAAGCTGATTGTTTTGGGCATCATCATAGCTCTAATCCTCATCATCATTCTGTCGGTCTGCCATGGATTCAAATGCTAAGAGAAGGCGAGTCGAGTCGAGCCGTCTTGTCCTTTTATCTTCGAGTAAAATGTCTTCAATCACTGCATGCATGATTATGCTCCTCTGCTCTTTTGATCATTTGTGGTGTGTATTGAGTTATTTTATGATATTATTTTTTCATAGAATCTTTATATAGCAACTCTTATGGCTTTTGAATGTATAGTCATCGTGCTTCTCAAAGAGTTATTAATATGATGATGCTTTCCGCTTCATTTTATCACTATTTTGGTGACACATGAACTGTTTTGTTGATCCTCTGAACCGTCATTGTCTATTGCTGTATTTAAAATAGTGGGAAATTTACATACATGCCACACAATACTTTTTATATACATATCTGACACCCAAAATTTGATATTTACACTTAAAACTCATAACACCTTGGTGTTATGATCCTATGCATGAATAGGTTATTTAACTTTTTTGGTGGTAGTATTTTTGATGTGATCTTAGAGATTTAAGTGGTATGAATGCACTTATAAATGTCTAGGCGTTGGCTATGTAAATACATAAGATTTGTGCGGTATTTATGTATGTAAATGCCTCTTATTTATTTTCGTTTTATTCTCACAATCACTAGCTTTCTAAATCAGTTTCTTTTAAAGGATTGTGCTGCCCTCCTCAAATAATATTGTGTTGAATATTATCAAAATATCATTATAATATCATTAAATTTGCATTTATCATGTTTTTATGAAATATCTTTTTCCCTAATCTTAATACAATATTAAATAGTTTTTTTTTTTATTGTAAATGCTGATTTGCAGCATCCTCAACATAAATTTATTAGTTGATTTTGAATCGATCAACCATAAATTTATATTGTAGCTGCTACAATCTGAACCCTCACTTTTAAGCACTTCTATAAGGGAAGAAAAACTCTGGCTTTGCCAAAGAGGAGAGGTGCATCCATATTTATAAGCTCAAGCAAACCCGAGAAAAATGAAGAGGACTTCTAAGAGGATATTAATTTTTTGAGCAAATACTATTTTTCCTTAAAAATTAATGCAAAAGAGGAAAAATTCTCAATATCATGTATACTTGTACATTCGTATGTATGTATTTATGTAAGTAAATATCTATATTAATTAATTTTTTAAATACCCGCTCTATATTTCTCCTTAATTAATTTCATCGTTTTAATTTCAATATACTGTGATTTCCTTACAAATCAAAGTCTCAAAATTAAAAAGAGAAATAATTAATTTATCTTTTTATTATCAGGCCCACGTAAAAACCCATTGCCTCTCGCAGCACAAAGCAGGAGAGAGGGAATCTCTTAAGCCTCTCTCTCTCATTCTTTCTTTCCCGAAGGGCATAACCGCTCCCCACCTTTCCTCTTCTCTCTCTCCACATTCATATGGCAAAAGCTCAAAAAAGAAAAGAAATTAAGCGAGAGGAAATCTTGGCCATAAGATTATTTAAAAAATTTAAGATATATTTTCGAAGTTCTTGACAATGAAAGGAGGGCAACATAAAGAGTCCTTCAAAAATCATTTTAATCATCAGCATAATGTGTAATAAATTTTTCGCATGATGAGTCTTGATATTAACAAATTTATATTTGAATTGACAGTCTCCATAAGACGAACTCAATGAAACTAAAATTGGTTCGATTTAAGTTTGATCAAGCTCAGATCAAAATGTTTAAGCACAAATTAAAGTTTTGAATGGTCAATTGAATGATCAAGAAAATATCAAATCTAATATGCTTATAATCAAATCGAGTGTCTCGTCGATCCAAATCTAACGAGCACAAGGTCAATTAATTCATACATCACTAAGGCGCTTGAATACTCGTAAACATCATCTGATCAAAAGAATCGCTTTGAGACGATTGATGAAGTTGTTCAAATTCGCGCAATATTTATAGAGAACATGACTCACAAAATTTATAAATAAGCCCCCACTTCCTTCATCAAGGGGGGATTGAGAGTTAATGACTCGCTGAATGAGCTCGAAGCTCTTGAGGATTCCCAAACTCAATCATCGCCAATGCCTGACCACTACTATCGAACAGTTGCCACCAACTTATCACTTCTTCCTAGCCTTCGTCATCGAACACCGCCATTGTTGGACTATCACTGCCCGACCACCGCCTCAAAGTTGTTGTCACAGTTAAAAAGCTGCCACTCAACCTCCCTCGTCGAGATGCCACCACTTTCATATAGCCCAAGTTGACATAACGCTTTTTGACGCTCCACCTCTACCTCAGCTTTTCATCACAATTGTCTGGTCACCACTACTTCTTCAACATTTTCTGTCACTTTCCTAGCGAAAAACCATATCTCAATCATGTAATAGTGCTTATGGCTATTAAAGAGCCAATAAAGTTTTGTAACATACATCAACTTAATAAAATTATTTCAACCGAGTCATACCTTCGTGGTTTTTGTTCCTTTAGATTTTTGTTCCTTTAGATTTTTTTTTTTTTAAAACTTATGATATCTTTTTCGTTAATTTCTTTTTACCTGTGCGTGCACAATATTTTTGTAATACATTAAAGTATCAATACATCACTTAACCATCGTGAATTTATTAGCGCATAACAATACAAATACTACTTTTTTGAATGAAGAAATAAATACAAAGAATTAAAATATTTTATTCTCATGATTTAAAAAATAATTGTTAACTAATTATAAACAACATCAATCATTATTTGATTAAATGAAAAGAGCACTTCTCTCAAGTACTATTATTAATATTATGAAAAATTTACACACAAACCACACAATTCTTATATATTTACATATCAAACAAGTCGAAGAGACCAACCCTCAAAATTTGATATTTATACTTATAATATATTATATCATAAATTTATGAATAAAAATGTATATTTTAATTTTTATGAAAACAACATTGGTGATGCTTTTAATTTGTTGTCAATACTTTGAATGATAAGCACGTGACTATGGTCGTCTGAATGTTAGATATGGAAGTACAAAAGCATTGTGGGGTATGTATGTAAATACCCCTTATCAGTATTATTATTAAATGCAATAGTAATATTTGCAAAAAACTACACTCTTAAATATATAAAATAATATTATTACGTTCCATTTCCTCTAAGATTCTAAATCCGAACTAAAAGCATTATTAGTATTTATTCAGTGGGCCTTTCTGAAAAAGATTCCATTCGGCCGCGCTTTATAAGCCGATGAGGCGCAAGGGAGGGGCAGGCGTCCTGCTTGGCATAACCTCCATCTAGGGTTTTAGGGCAGCCCTCACTACCCTCTATCCCAACGGGAACCCTAACCCTAATCACGCCGTTATCATGGACCGATACCAGAGAGTCGAGAAACCGAGACCGGAGTCTGCCATTAACGAGAACGAGATCCGAATCACCACCCAGGGCCTCATTCGCAACTACATTAGCTACGCGAACAGTCTTCTACAGGTTCAACCGACACCTCCTCCCCATTTGCACAAATTGATTTCCGTTGGTTTGTAACTGCTATGAGATTTTGATTATGGGGAAGAAGTTGTTGTTATCTCCACAGATCTCATTAATAAAACAAGAAAATGACGCCAGAATGCAATATTATATCATTCATATGTTTTATTCACATTTGTTTAGCATATATCATACCGTTTATAAGATTATCATGTATTTTTAATATTTTCTATGTCAGCATACTTCAAATTCAAGCTTGCCTTTGAACGGTGAACAATGTTCAATTTTCAAAGGCTAACTTGGGGTTGAAGTATGCTGACATAACAAATATAAACAAATATATGAAAATCTTATAAAAGGTGTGATGTACACTAAACAAACGTGAATAAAACATATAATATTGCATTCTGGTGTGATTTTCTTGTTTTAATGTCCAATCAAACCAGTAAATGACTAAAAGATTTTACTTGAATAGCATATTAATACTATCAATTGTATAGTTAATGGGATAACTGGCTTATTTGATTTTTTGGTCTTAAAGTAAGTTAATTTTGGGTCACCTCTAAGATCCAGTCAATTGTTGTAATGACAATCTTTATTACAATTTCATATTTTGACCTCTGCTTCAAGCTGAGTTTTTCTAATTCTTTGCTAGGTTGATCTGTTCACTTTTTATTAGGTTGTTGATTCTTTTCAAGGTCCAATTAAATTGGCCTATTTGATTTGGATTTCACATCCCTAGTTGGAACACCAGTCAATTTTATAGGACATGTATTCTAATGATGTATTGCTCATACTCATAGAGATGCAAATGCTTTAGTGCCAAGATGGCTCGGGTCATGTGAGGCCCCACTTGTGCATCTTCTAGGTCTTTGGATAAGTCATTTGAGCTGCATGTTTTTTGGAGAACGCGTAGTGGTGTGTGCACCAATTGCCTTCTTAATCTAACAAATCTTTTATTTAACTAACTTTATCTTCATTCCAGATGTTTGGAATTCTAATTGTTTTTAATAGTAAAAGCTCTATAATTTACCCTTTTATTTTGAACTATAATATGTTTTTTTTTTTTTGTAGCTTTCTTTCTCTTATTGTTATCAGAGGTCGCTCCTGTGCCTGTCACTATTATTCACCTTTTTTTGGACATTGCTTTTTTTTACAAGTATTTATTGCTATTCAATTTATTTGGTTTCAACTTTCAAACATGATTTTTAAAGTTATTGATGGCATGCTACTTTTGTTTTTTTATGATTTATTTCTTAAATAACTATCTGAATTGATTTATTACAATCCATTACTTTGTATTTTATAGTTGCATGCCATGCATTATATCTTATTTTATTGAGGGGTCTTTCTATGATTATGGATATACATATATTGCGTACTTTAAGAATATTGTGGATAAATTTGTCTTGAATGATATCTCATTAAGATTTTAATTATGATTCCTTTTGAAATATTGATGCCTCGGTTTAGAAAGCAGAATTGTTCATTCCCCATGCAATTTTAAGCCTTTGTACTTTAATATCACTTATCCTTTTATAAACGTGTTACTAGTTTAATTTCTATTTTTAGGTTCATTTAGAACTGTCCAAAAACATTTTCAAAGGTCACCAAGTAAATGCTCCCTTGGTTGCAACCTTACTAATATGATGTTTCTTGAGCAGTTGTCCTAAAGAAAAAAAAAGCTTCTATGGTGATTTCTAAATCTTATGCTCCAAGTTGTTTGGTATTTACTAGGCAAGAATGCTAAAAGTTTGTCTCAGGAAATTCCTTGTCTGCAACATGATCATATCACTACCCAACAATTATTAACTTAGATGTTTAGTTGTGTAGCTAGATGCCATCCAACACAATTGTCATATCAATGTATGTTGAAGGTATTAGGATTTTTAGATAAGGAATGAAAGGGTTTATGGGCTATAGATTTATGTGCTAAATAAGAAAAAACTATGAGCTTAAATTCACGTGCTTAATATGAAAAGAAGGGTTTAATGGATTCACATGCTTAATGTAGAAAGTGGAGTTCCACATATTACTCCTCATGCTGGTTGTACATTAATTTTAATTTATAAATTCTTTGTAATTAATGGTTTTCAATTATCTTGGAGGTAGTTTTGTGTATAAATACCTATTGAGATAATGAACAAATAATACTTTCTAGGCACATTTTTTTCCATATAATATTCAAGTATATTTCGGGTTCTCATTCCAATCATTCTTTGTTTTCTCTTTCATTTTTCTCCCCATGCCTGATTTTTTTCTTTTAATTCCATTTGAAAGAGTTGATAATCATGAATGTGAAAAGTAGACTAAATGATAATTCTAGAGGATATAAACCTTATATAATTTATTTTCAATCATTGATTGTTCTCTCTTTCATTTTTCTCCTTCCTATGTCTATTTTGTTTTTTTTAATTTCATTCAAAAGAGCCGATTATCATGAATTGTGAAAACTAGGCTAAATTATAATTTTAGGAGACATAAATATTGTATTGTTTGGATGGAAGAAACTACTTAAGAGATTTCAGATTGTGAAGTCCATCTTGAAAGGAAAGAAGAAACCCATCATCTTGTTGATTCTTTTCTAGATCTGAATGATCAAAAGTTTGCACTTTGGGATGAAGTGGGTTCCATGATCATGTCATGGTTATGGAGCACCATAATATCTAAAATTATTAGATCTTGCGTACTCTTAACAAGCGTAGTGGATGCAAAAGTCAAATAGGCTTACACAAAAGTTAAAGATGTTGCTCTCTTTTATGAGATCAAAATGAAGCATTAAATAACCTAGTTAATTTCACCGTCATTGAATATTTCACTACGGTGAAGTCAATTAATTTGAACTAGATTCAAGATAAAATGTAGTGTTCATGATGAGAAAGAGTGTTTGAGTTTGTTGCAGGGTTTAATAAAGAATTCTATCAAGTTTGTATTCAAATGTTGAGCATAAAAATTGTACCCACCATCCCTTAATGAAATGTTCTCACTTGTTGAACCTAAGAAGGAAGAAAGATTGTAATGCATGACACTCCCAACTTTGAATTATTGGCCATAAAAATAACATAAAATTATGATAAGAGACTTTTTACCACATATTCTTCTAAAATACTATGGGTAATTATTATAAGAAAAATGGGCATATCAAAGAGAAATGTTGGAAGCTTCATAGAATACCCCAAGGCTATGGTGGAAACAAAGGAGGCTAAACAAAAGAAAATGCTCATCTTGTTAAGCCATATGAGCTTAACAAAAAAAAAAAGAATGACAAAGCTAAGAAACTTCTTTCCTTTCTTTCTATTTTTTTTGGATATGCTCTATAGCTCAAAGTGATGCAAATTCGATCTCTTGTATATTATTGCCTAAGGTAGCTCCTCAAAAAATTTGATAACAGATTCAATAGCTACCGATCACATAATAAACGTTGCTAGTATTTAGAAATTTGCAAATCTTATCTAATTAGTAAAGAAATAAAAATAGTCGATAGTTTCCTAATAGTTATTATAGGTCAAAGTAATATACTGATATTTTTGTTTCTTCTGCATTTACTCTCAATGAGATGCTACATGGTCTTAAGCTACCACTAAATCTTCTGTCTATTCATGAACTCGTCAAATATCTTAATTATAAAATGAAATTTTTGTTGATGATTATTTATTCTAAGATAATATGGGAGACACATTTGGGCAAATTAGAAAAAAAGGACGAGTCATACCTACTTAACTAAAAGAACTTCTTATTCTAATCTTGTCTTTTCATGAACTCATCAAATATCTTAATTATAAAATGAATTTTTGTTGATGATTATTTATTCTAAGATAACATGGGGAACACATTTGGGCAAACTAGAAAAAAAAGGACGAGTCATACCCATTTAATAAAACAACTTCTTATCCTAATCTTGTGTGTTTATTCTATGCAAATGCAACTTGGGACCATCATTAGAGATTCACATATTTCTTGAAAGTCGTAAATGTATGTTTATACCTCTTTTTATAAATATTTACATTGGGAGAGTAATGAATTTTCTAAACATCATGAGTTTTTGTTTTTTTCTAAAGCTGACTCTTAAATCTTTTACTCTTTTTATGATAATTCACTTAGGTATTTAGAGACTTAAAAATTCTTAATGCTTCTATAGTTAAAGAATTTGTCACATTCATTGATAATTGTACTTAAATTACGTGTTTATTTGATTAAATAAAAATGTGTTGTCAATTATATTTATTCAATCTTTATCTCTATCGCACAAAAATAAATTTAGTGTCACTGTTTAAAAATTTAAGATTGTTAATGCTTGGGATTCTTTTGGTCAAACTATATATTTTTCTTCAATAAAATGGTGTGGCTCTTGGAAGCTTTTGGTTTCTAAGAAATTTATATTTTAAAATTAAATTCCTAACAAGAGTGGAAGTTATTATTATCTCCACATATCTCATTAATAAAATACCCGCATGAATGATTGATTTAAAAGTCCCTTGAACTATCTTGCGTAGTTTTTTTTTTCACAAACACTTATTTTTCAAAACTTTCAAAAAATTTCGATTGTCTTATATTTACTTCCACAAAAATGCTGAGTTAAACTTGATCCTAGGGGATTTAAGTGTGTTTTTATTTGATATTATTATTTTACTGTCCAAAAAATCATTTCAAAAGATATCACTTGTAATGAAAATTAAAATTTTTTAATTCAAATTTATCTTCAGATAGAGAACTGAAAAAAAAGAAAGGATTTATGAACTTAATATCTTCTCTTTCAACATTTCAGCTACACGAACATAAATATAGCATATGCCTCTAATCACTAAGCCTTGTTAGGTCTATACAAGAAAAATAAAGCTCATAGAAAGTTTTAAGTTTCAGAATTCTTGTCAGGTAACTCTTATAGAAATGATCCTTTTACCACACGGTCTCCTCTATACCTTAAAATCTAATACACATCTTTTTAATATCTCTCTCCTACATATAAAGACTTCATTATGAATATCAATTTTAGAATCATTAAATTACCACAAATTCTAGTTTAGGACACTAGAACTTAAGACTTGGAAGGATGTCATGAGAAACTAGATCAATGCTTTGGAAGAAATCACATAAAATTAAATTTTGAAAAAGAAATTCTCTGTAGAATACATGAAACTTGAGAGATAATTAAACTATCAAAATGGACAAAAAGTGTAGGACGCAAGAGTTTTTTTTTTTTAAAATGAAGTTGATGGAAGTCTGGAACAATTTATAGTCAGTGGTTGTATTCAATTGTATTAAATAGATTATCAACATACCTTTGCTCTTGTTATTAAAATTAATAAAATTCACATTTTAATTTCCTTGGCTGTTAATCTTGGTTGGTTCATGCAATAATATCTTGCAAAATATTTTTTTATATGGAGATTTGAAAAGGTTTGTATTCTTTACTAAGATTTGATAGTTCTTTCATACAAAATAGGGCATGCAGATTAAAAAAGACACTATATGATTTTAAGCATTTTTCAAAGGCATGATTTGATAGATTTACAAAATTCATATGAAATGAGATATAAATATAACCATATATGATCATGTACTTTTCATAAATTATTTCACGGTTTGGAAAAAAATCAATTCTTGTTATGGATGCTGATAATGTAATTATTACTCGAGATAATTATAAAGGATATTAGTCACTTAGAAAAAAAACTCTGTAAGAAGTTTGAAATCTGAGAACTCTACAAGTTCAAATACTTATTAGATATACATGTTTTTTAGTCAGAAAAAAATACCTTCAATAAGAATATGTTAGGGATATTTTAGGAGAAATAAAAATGACTAACTGCAGGTCATGCGAATCTCTAACTAAATCGGGTCAGAAATTGGACATAGATAAAGAATGAATAGATGCTGATATTAGACAATCTAGATTAATTGAGAAATTAATCTTACCATCTCATTTACATCTCTTTTATTGCAAGTCTCATAAGTAACTTAATTTAGATGCTAAATGGATTTCACATTCAAGCTGCTTAGAGAGTTTCTAGGTATCTAAAATCAAATATTGAAAAAGGGATTCTCTATAGAAAACATGAAATTTTATAAATTGAAGTATACATTGATGCAAACTATAGGATATTATCAGGGGATAGGGGATCCACTTTAGGATATTAAATACTTTTGAGAGGAAATCTGGTAAAATGAAGAAGCAAAAAAATAATTTGTGTCTCATAGTCAAGTGCTCAATCTGAATTCTGATCAATTTCAAATTATTTGTGAATTCCTTTGGATTGAAATTATATTAGATGATTTAAATCAAGTTGAAAGAACCCATGAGAATATACTGTGACCATCTGAGCATCCACGTTGCACGTAATCTAAAACAGTAGAGTTGAACTAAACACGTGGAAGTGGATATGTATTTTATAAAAGAGAGACTAGAAAGCATGTTACTTTGCACTCCATATGTTTCAACGTGATGTCAACTTGCCGACATATTTTTAAAAGGACTTTGCAACCCTGCATTTAAAAGTAAATTAAATAAATTTGGAGTGGTAGAACTTCATCATCCGATTTGAATGAGAGTATTAAATAATTAGGATTGTTAAATAAAGAATGAAAGTAGCCGCAAATTTATTTGCATGAAAGTTTGAGTGCCATGGATTTATGTAATTAACATGGAAAAAGGAGTGCCATGGATTGCTTGCTTCTTCGATTAGCCAAGCAGTAGGTTTTAGAGAACATATTTAATTTTTAAATTCTTTGAAGTAATAGTTTTTAATTATTTTCTGGGTAATTTTATGCATAAATACTCATTGAAAGAAACAAAATTTGTTTTTTGGCCCCTTTTTTTTTCTTTAGTATCATTGAATCATATTAATTTATTCCACTTGCATCTGCTATACTTTTTGTTTAACTGATTAACTTGAAATGTTCGTTTATGTCTATTAAGTTAATACCTTTGCATTCCATTGCCTGACATGGTTGGCCCAGCAGCCTTTTTCGTCTCATGAAACATTCAATTTCACAATCAGGAAAGAAGAGCGAGGGAAATCGTGTTGAAAGCAATGGGGCAGGCAATTAACAAGGCTGTGGCACTTGCTGAGATCTTAAAGGTCAGTCTTAGCCTTCACATTATTTTGAGGGTATAAGTTACCAACTTCGTGTATCTTAAATTATTTTCTTGTATCAAGTGCAGAATAGGATTCCTGGATTGCATCAAGATACTAGCATAGGTTCAGTCAGTATTACTGATGTTTGGGAACCAATTGAGGAGGGACTTGTACCGTTAGTATTTTTGCTGCCCCTGTTTATAAACATATTAAGTTCCTCAATGTTGTTAAAAATCTATATCAAACTTTTGAGCTTGCAGGTTGGAGGTGACAAGACAAGTTTCAATGATTTCAATCTCATTGTCAAGCAGACCGCTCAACAAGAATTCCCCTGGGTAACAGATTTTAAAGTCATACATCAGAAGAAACATTGATTTTTTATCTCTATATTGTTTGTTTTCAATTGGCCTGCTTGAATTAGAAAAGTATTTTGAAATTTTTATCTTTATATTAATTGTTTTCATTTAACCCTTACTAATTATATGGTGCTGTATTGTTTGACTGAGAAATATTTGGATTTTTTTTTATTGTGCAGGTATCAGAGTCCATTACATGTACCACAATCAAAGATACAAAAATATCAACAGCCACAGCAATATCAACAACAGGTTCCAAGACAAACTCCAGCTCAATATATTGATGGTATGTATTTATTTGTTCGTTTTGATTATATGGTCTCTTTAACTTTATTTGCCAATTTGTTCTTATTATTTCTAATGATTTATCCCGCTAATTTTGTCATTGATTGTGGCAAAGATTCATATGGACGAGAACATGGTCGAGGTCGAGGAAGAGGAAGGAACCGAGGCAGAGGTGGTTATGGTGGGTACGGAAATTATGGAGGACATGGAGGATATGGAGGATATGAAGGGTATGAAGGATACGGAGGATATGGGAATAATCAAGGTATTAATGATTTTCTTTGCTTGGATGTTATTGCTGCCGTTCTTTTGTCATTGGAAGAGAATCGAGTAGGTGCTTCTTTCACCTTTTTCTTATTGGATTGGAGATATGGAACCTGATCAGTTGAAATCCTCTGCTGATGAGACTCCACTTATTTTTTGCTGTCCCAGCATAGTGCTCTCTTTGTTGTCTTTGTTTAATTTGTATTTTCTACTGGGTTTTATTTGCACACATATTTGGCTGATGGACTTATTTCATGGTAGATAATGGTGGGTGGAATTACAACTGGAATCAAGGTCGTGGTCGTGGTCGAGGAAATTGGGGTTATCGTGGTAAGATCTTAAGCTAAATCTGAAATTTTTTATTTTTTTCTGTATTTTTAAAAGCTCTGCCTTGGTTAAAAATTGCTTTAGACTCTTTAGCAATGCTTTGATTCTCTATTATACCGTAAACAAGTTCAAATAACTTGCAAATGTCACCTTTACTTTGATAGTTTTTCAAGCCGGTGAACAACAATCTTTAATTTAATGTGGAGGCCAATTAATCAATTTTTTGTATAATCTTTTTATGTCCCGATACATCCATGTTGTTAAACCGGCACTTAAGGACAATTTACTAATTTTATATTTCTTATTGTTTGGTATAAATAGGGTTTAATAAGATTAGCGTTATGCTATTTGTGATTGTTGTTTTTGAATGCTAGGGTTACGATTTGGGTGAAATTGTATTTCTCTCAAATTATAGGTGCTTATCTTTATGTATTTGTGTTATGTTGTTTTTGTGTTGGAGAAATAAAATATTGGTTGCCCTAATTTCTATGAAAAATTTTCCTGGTTCATATCAAATTGGTACAGGGAAAGCAATAATGGGATCACATAGAGGTTTTAGAATAGTGAAGCCAACGATGAGATCTAGTGTTCCCTAGTAGTATTTTGAAAGCCAACAACGGGATCGGGCGTGCGCTAGTGATTGAACTTCTCGATCTAGGAAGCTGACGAAGGGATTACTACGTTTCTATCGCGATTCAAGCTAGTTGGGAGTCGACGGGATCACGATTTTACGTAGCTGGGAAGCAAACTGCGAGAACACGACATACAGACTATGAGATCGCCACTTACAGAGCGAAATAGTTGATTGAGATGAGATAGCTGGGCGTACGGATGACGGATCAGTGTTATGCTATGTGTGATTGTTGTTTTTGAATCTTAGGGTTAGGGTTTATGTGTGATTGTCTATCTCTCGAATTATAAGTGCTTATCTTTATATATTTGTGCTATGTTGTTTTTGTGTTGGTGAAATAAAATATTGTTTGTTCTAATTTCTATGAAAAGTTCCTCTAGTTCGTATCAAATTGGTACAGGAAAAGAAACGACGGGATCACATAGAGGGTTTAGAATAGAGAAGCCAAAGATTGGATCTAGTTCTCCCTAGTAGTGTTCCGAGAAGCCAACAATGGGATCAAGAGTGTGATAGTGACTGAACCTCGCGATCTGGAAAGCTGACGATTCTATCACGATTCAAGCTAGCTGGGAGCCGATGGGATCACAGTCTTAAATAGCAAGTAAGCAAACTACGAGATCACGAGGTAGCAAACTGCTGGATCACCACTTGAGTTGGGATAATAGGGCGTACAGACGACGGGATCACGGTTGACAAAGCAATACAATCACTTGATTCGACCTAGTGTGGGAAGCAAACGAAGTGTTCGCGTTGTACAATGACTGAATCACGCGATACAATCACAAATCGAGCTAGTTGAGGAGCCAACGAGCGTACAGAGTGCCACTTTTGTGATTAAAAAATTTCTTGGGAGTAATGACAACAAAAAAGTAGATATTCCAGAGGAGAAATTAGGTAGAGTTGAGCCTAATCAGATTTGAAATGGAGTGATGGTTCGTCCATGGAGGGGAGATTCATCGTTCTGGAAGCAATGATGAAGTTTGTGGAGTTTCACACAAACTCGCAGCTGCCCACTGCGGGATCAAGTGACATCATCAAGAGCAAACACAAGCAATAACCATATGAAGGATTTGTGCGACATCAGGGCAGCGTTGTTGCCTTAGCTTGATCCAAAGTCGCGAGATCAAGCAAAGGAATCTGGAGCGGACTCGAGAGACAACACATTGAAGGAATTTACGCATCCCCACGGCTGAAACAAATAGAAGCAGGCAAGATCAAATGAGGAGTCGGGAGCAAACTCGAATGACAACTCTTGGAAGAAATAGCGTGATATCCAAGCATCTGTAATGAATGGAAGAAGACAAGATTGAGAAAAGGACTAGGGAGCAGATTTGAGCAACAAAATATGGAGGGAATGGCATGATGTATGGAGGTTTGGAACAAATGGCAACTGACAGAACGAGTTAATATGCAGTTCGGGGTTTGAGATGATCATTTTGAATAATTTCGGCCTAGAACAGGGAACCATATTTTGTGAGGCCCCAACAAAGGGATACGCTATTGCTTTTTATTTTGGCGGCCTTTCGAGTTGAAGGCGATTCTAGAGCAATGATGGAAACATAGTAGATGGAGAAAAATAGGGGAGTTTGTAAGAGATTGATTTTGTCTTTGCAGTCTTCAGGAGGGAGATAAGATGATGTTGATATGTTGTGATCCTAGTTTGTGTGAGTCTTGGGGGTTGGCGAAACCATCAAAGGTGGTAGCTTAGTTAGATTGACCACCTAAGTCCTTGAAGTGGTGGATAAGATTTCTGGGACTTACATGATACCACCGAAAGTTGAAGAAGGAATACTTTTAGTGGGGGAAAACGACAACCCAGGCTTTTGAGAAGTTAAAGAAGGCCATGACGAATGTACGGGTCTTGGTGTTACCAGATTTCAACCGACCTTTCATTATAGAGCTGCTGCTTCAGACTATGAATTAGGCGTAGTCCTCAGACATTGTCAGTGATTTATCACTTATTTCAATCAAGTTTTGATTGTGAGAACTAGATAAGTCATTATATGAGTGAGAGTCACACGACTTGATCCAGCAACAAATTTTTTTCCCTTGACCACAATATGTCTTTTTGAGAGTAGAGTAATGTTAAACTAGCACATAAGGGAAATTTAGTAATTTTACATTTATTGTTGTTTAGTATTAATAGGGCATAATAGAATTAGAGTTGTGTTATTTGTGATTGGTGTATTGAGTCTTAGGACTAGGGTTTTGGAGAGATTGCCTTCATCTCAAATTGTAGGTGTTAGGGTTAGGGTTTGGGAGAGATCGCCCATCTCTCGAATTGTAGGTGTTTATCTTTATGTATTCGTGTTATGTTCTCCTGTGTTGTTGAAATAAAATATTTGGTTGCCGTAATCTCCATGGAAAACTCTTTTATTTCGTATAAGTTGTTCACCATTACCACCTCTCCCTCTTAAAGAGGATGCTAACAAAATTTGAATGTTGAATTTGAAGAGACAGAGAATGACAAGGGCATAAAGGCCATGTTAGCAGAGGACATTGTTTGCAAGGATATAGAAAGAGCGCAGAATGTGATAGAAGGCGTGCTCCACTTGGTGCCTTAGTTGAGCAAAACACGATGTACACCTGGGGAAAGATTATGAGTCTCGCCTCAACAATTGCATAGTAGGATGAAGCATATTTTACGTTGGAAAGGTTCAAGACATGGTAATTAATGTATCGTGCTTGTTATGAAACACCCTAATAGTTAAGGAGGCCTTAATAGAGTGTGATACAATTTACACTATGGTAAAGTTCATGAGTCTCGCCTAGACAGCTTCAATAATGGAGTGAGATATAATTTATGCAGTAGAGGTTTAAGATGTAGATAAATCTTTGTGAAGTAGTACATTTCATTTTCGTTGGTGGTCGTTACTTGGCTCTCACATACTCATTATCGCTGGCTATTCCATTTCCATGGAAGTTTGTCACAAGTTTATGAAGCAGCAAGTGAAATGGAAAGGGTCAGTCAAGGAAAGAGAGCTGTTAGGAATTTGTAACAGTGTATTTAGGTGTATTTAGGTGACGGGGTGAGTGGGAGATCATGTCATATGCGGGAGAGCAGAACTGGAGAAGTTGGAGCTATGGCTTGTGGCGAGCTTGTGGCTAGAGAGAAAGGAGAGCGATGCAATGGAGTTGGAAGATATGCAGGAGTAAAGGAAGAGCAGAAACAGAGCTAGGGTTTTGTCCTGCTAGAATGACAAAATGGGGAAGAGTTACATGTGAGAAAGCACATGCAAGAATAGCCTTGAGGCTTTCGTGGCTGGGAGAAAGTTGGGGATTAGAGCGAGAGTGCACAAGCTCTAGGAGATCGAGAGCCATATTTTTCGTTTGGATGGAAATATCACAAGCGGCTATGTTGTGGGAGAGAGTGATTTGTTAGGGCATGTCAATGTGGGAGAGTGAGTGACATTCACAAAATGGGATGGCACGTTACTGAGAATTAGAGAGAGAGGAATATAGTAAGCACTGCATTAAGGCAGGAGCTTATTTGTTTGCTATGAGAACGTGGGAGTGAATGAAATGACAATGATGTAATGGTATGTTTTTTGTTTTGTTTTGTTTTTTTTTCATTTTTTTCTTTATTCGTTGGTAAAGAAAAAAAATGAATAGGGATAGTGAAGTAGAATTACCAAGACTAGCTCTTTGAAAACTTTATCTTTGGTTGGAGTACTAGCTGTCTTAGAGGAAAAGAAGAGCGCACTTGATCTCTGCTTTGCTTTTGTTGCTACTCTTCCTCGACCTCTTCTATCTGTCCTCCATAGCGATGAAATGACAAGGGAAGACGATTTGTTATCATCAATAACATGAGAATGTGCAATTTCTGAAATGGAGTGAAGAGATGTTTTCGATCTTGGAATTGGAGTCTTTGCATAATAGGAAGACTGGTAATGTCAGTGTGAAGATGGTTCTTTTTGGGAGACAACCGTGAGGAAGCCCAACGAAATAATTTTCTTTTACTTTTTCATTGTTGTTTGCTATTGAACTAGAAATGTGTTATTATCTCTCAAATAAATCACATTTTCTCATAATTATATACGAACCAAACTAGTTAAATGTATTCATTATACAGTTAATTCTTCTATGCTAAGGGTCTTCCAGGCCTATAATCTTTAGCCGTTAATATAATCATCTTCTAGTATTTTGCGTGGAATTTTGGTTTTCTATTTTTTTTTTTTTTGTGTGGAACATTTAAATGCTAACGATTTAAATGGGCAGCTGCTGGATATGAATGCTTGATATGAGCGAGGAAGAGGAGTTGGAGGGAGAGGCTATGGCCGAGGAAGGGGTAGGATGGGTGGCCGTGGGAGAGGAAATCAGGGATAGTGAGAATGTGGTGGTGGGACCACTTTTCAAGAGCAATGTGGTGGTGGGACCGCTTTTCAAGAGCATGCTCTCTTTCCTATAAGGGCAGTGAAAGGCTGATGTAAGTGTTTCATCTAGTCTTGATATTGTGAGGTATGGCTATGGTCTTTATAAATGTTTCTTGAAGAGGATTATCCTCTGTTTCTATTGTATTTGTTATAAGTTTTTTCCATGGTTGTTGAGTTTATGAGCATGCTGTAGTGGTTTCGTCTTTACAATTTCCCATCACCTTTTCATGGCTTTTATATTCATGTATCTAATACTCAAATTCAATGTATATTGAAAAAAAAAAAAAAAAACTTATTTGACCTGCAAATGATCTCTTTATAGCAAGTATCCAATGCTAAATTTTTTAATGTACCTAATACTGCAGTGATTTATTTATTGAAAAAAAAAAAACTTATTTTGGCCAACTTTAGCCTGTCTTGTCACAGATAAGACTTAGAATGCGCTATGTGGGGGTTGGTGGGGTTGGCTGGGGGGTTCTTGGTATAATCTTTCATCATCTCTACAATGCCGCTCTCTAAATTTATTCCCACCTTACTCGGTGCCTTATTTCTCGCAAGCTCATCCGACTCCTCTTTATTGCTTTGCCAGCTTGCTGGCTGAAACAGATTGGAATAAGTCTCCACAGCAAAGTTTTATCTATCATTTATCCTTTCGTGCATTCTATTATATGCTATTCCTCACTCAAATTCAAAAGGTGGCAACTTCTTGCAATCTTGACTGTACACAGCAATTTGGTTTACATTTTGGTGGATGAGCCTCGGAATTTGAATCCTGGTTATATTCCATTTGTTTTGGTTAGATCCTTTATATTTTGATGGTTAAATTGGTATTTGAGATTGAGTTTGCAGTGATTATTTTTATTTGGTGGTGGGAGAAATAGGGGATTACTTTAGGAGTGACTATAGGGCTTTTGAATTTTGGGAGGTGGAATATTAAAAGGTAGCCTAGATTTACAAGGAGAAGGCATCGAGCTTAAGTTATTTTGTGATGGCTGATTTTATGAGGAGCTTAAGGAGTTGTAAGGTTTATTTAGGGTAAGGAGAAGGCAAGCTAAGAATGTTAGGAATAAGGATTTGGGGTTATTTAGGGTAGTCATGTAATGGTGTTCGTGTAAAGAGTGAAATGAAAGTTGGTTGGCTGAGTATAGATAGATTTTGAATGGCTCAGCTTTTTGTGAATAATTTGGTGTAGGAGCGTGGGAGTTTAGGCAGAAGCTTCAAACAGTCAAATGAATACAGAAAGAAATCACCGAATAAATAAAAAAAAGAATTTATATTAAACCTCTCACCAAAGAAGAATCTATAAGGACACTAAATCAAAGGCAATTGTTAGCTATAAAAAATTTTCAAGGAATATAGGATTTCACCAAATGACTTGTGTTTAACTTCAGTTTCTGAAGAATTTTTTGGTCCTTATGAGAATTACACATTGAAAGAAGATAGGAAAATTAAAAGCATTCAAATTGCAATAAATGCACCTTGGAACTTCTATTTGATTTGATAACTTTTATGAAAATAAGGTTTTTTTATTAATTTTATTAAATCAAATTGTTGGGATATAAAAAATTGAAAGCATTCAAATTGCAATAAATGAACCTTGAAACTTCGATTTTATAACTTTTATGAAAATAAGTCCTTTTATTTTATTAAATAAATTGGTGGGAGATGGAATAACTCTCTAGAATTCTCAAAATATGACTGGCTGGCTTTTTTTTATTTATACTTTGAAGATTTGACAAGTACAGCTAGTAACACTTTGGGATCCCACTTGGGCAATGTGACATTCTGAATCTCATTTGGACAAAAATTTGCCTTAAGTTATATTTTTCAATATAAGCATTCTTACTTTGCAAATGTTCTTGGAATTTAAATGAATAACGTAAAGAAACTATCAAAATACAATAACACGTAAGAGAATCAATATTTACTAGTATTTTTGAATTTTGTAATTACTCTATGCTACACCTATCCAGCATCACTTAAGCTTGCAAATGTGTTCTGAGGAATATGGGTGTAAAAGAAGAAATTATTAGGTGCGGATAGTTTTGTGTGAACTAAGAATAGCATGCTGTACATAGCTTGGTTTCTTAGATATGTATTCCACGCAATTGGTTGTCGGCATATACAATGTTTACACCTAATAATTTTTCTTATAAATGAGTTGTGAGCTTGAATGATGATGGCATGTGTTTGCATTCAACTCGCTTGAATTTTCTTTTGCATGTATTTTGGCTGTGTTTGACTTTTTTTTTTTTAACATCATGCACATGTCGTTGCTCAAACTCGAGCTAATTTCAAACAATTGAAAATGATTTTTGATGAGCAGACATCGATAAAATTATTTTACTTTTTAGCTGACCAATTAATAAATTTGAATAAAAAATGTGCCATCCATGATCAAACAAAATTTGTTTGTTTTTTCCATGTTAAAAAAGTAAGCTACAAATAACTCTTAATATAGTTTCTCTTATTTGACGGATGAATTGAACACAAGCTTTTTAATTTAACAAGTTAAACATAAGTTCTTGAACAACAATTTTTTTCGATAGCCCCTATTTTGGATCGTCTTTGGCTCTGCCAAACTTGGCATCCATCAAGCTTTATCATCCCTTGTTTCTCTTCCTTCTATGATTTGTTTCTGGTTTATGGTGTCAGATGTGTAGCTTTATATTTTGTGGTTTTAACTTCATGCGTTATCTCTTTTTTACGGTCTTGCTATTCTGGATATACTTTCTATATTCATTAAAAATTACAATGGTGCGGTGTGTGAAAGTTATGGTAGACATTAAGGGTAATCAAATTAATCCCCTTTTTAGGATAATCTTTAGCTCTGCCACGCTTGGCATCTATCAAGCTTTATAATCCCTTGTTGATTTTCCTTCTATGATTTATTTCTGGTTCATGGTGTTTTATGTGTAGTTTTATATTTTGTGGTTTTAACTTTATACTTTGTCATCTCTTTTTGCAATCTCGTTTTTGTGGATATACTTGCTACATTTGTTAAAAATTACAATGGAGCGGTGCTTGAAAGTTATGGTAGACATTAGGGGTAATCAAACTAATCCTTGTTGGAGTTTGAGATGCACGAGTTGAAAGTTGTGACTTGGGAGTTTGTGGGTGATCTTGAGTTGTTAGGTGATTAGAGGAGATCTAACTAGTCATTCTCTTAAGAGGAGAGGAGGCTAGGCGACTAGGATTTGTGCAACTTCAAGATGGTTGGAACAATTATTCTCTTTTAATGGCATGAGGTGCCTGGGAGACGACATGCAACCTAGAGTTGATAGTTGTTTGGAGGTGATAAGAATAGTCAATTTTCTTACGAGGGAAGAGTAGGTGACTAGAGTTGGCCATCAATTTGGAGTCGGTGGGTGACTTTCAATCGATGAGTGACTATTCGATAAGTAACCTCGAGTTAATGGACGACCGATAGTTGATGATGCATGTAAGCGATTAGGATGACATTGTTCCAAAATCTTTGAGAAAATCAAACTGTTTAAAAAGGATTTATAGCTTTGACATACTTTTGGGATCAAAATTCAAGAAGCTTTTGGTGACTACAAACATCTAGTGATAAAAGACATGAAAAACATCTGACAATGATGTATATTTTTGAGATAATTTTGGGATCAAAATTCAACAAGCTTTGGGTGACGACAAACATTGAATGATGAAAAACTTTTTGGCAATGGTGCAATAGAATGTGTCAGGTTATGAGGGCTTGATTTAGGGGTACATTGGGCGAGGACAAATGTGCATTAGAAGTTTATTGTGTGTTGAGTGATACCTAACATTAGTTAATGGTGAATGAATGACAATGAATAATGAAGAATGATTAATATAATCACTCCTCTAATGAGTGACAAGGAGTTATTATACGATTGAAGATGATCAGGATGATTTATCCCTTGAAAGAAAAGTATAATTAAGCAAGTTGAGGTCAATGACTACAATTTAGTTGAGGGAAATGATAAACTAGTTGGCACTCAGGAGGAAATTAAAGCTTTATATTTCCCCGCAATGTAAGACCTACTTCATTTCCCTCTCTTGAAAGTAGGAATGTCATACTATTTAAAAATATATGGAGGAGTTCCACTAGTAGTAACTATGTGATATAACGAGCTGTCCTTAGAAGTTAGAGAATGCGCCACATTACGATACATGTGAAATTTACATGTTGGTATACAATGTTGAAAATGCAAGGAGGTTAGTTTTGTGATGGTTCTTTTTCTGGATGTGAAGGTAGTACTGAAAGGCGGTCATTGAAGCGGCAACAAAAATTTTAGAAGTAACTGAAAACAATCATCTTTCCAGAGCTGAAGATGAAACAATTAGAAAGTTGTAGCTAGTAGATGTTGAAAGGCCGCTTGTCACTGAAAATGGTTATGTCGAACTTCTCTATATGTGATGATGACAGAATATAGAGGTCATAAGCAAAGATCTTTTAGTCCTTTCTTTAGTTAGGGATGCAAAGCTATGATGGTGGTGAGTTGTAGTCATTGGATGATTCAGAGTTAATAAGCGACTGAAGGCTATTGATATGATTGTTATCTTAAGAGAGAAAACTAGACGATTGGGAATTTAAGTGCAACATGAAATGGTTGGGATGATTTTCTTAAAATAAGGAGGGTATATGAAGAGTTGACAAATGATCAAAGCTGTCCTGATATTAATTCTCCTAAAAAAAGAGGGAAATTGGGTGACTTGGAATGAGGATGCAACCTGGAGTTGGTAGACAACTGGGAGTCAAGGAGGGATTGTACCTGAATGGAGCTAGTGAGCGACTTGAGAGGTAGTGATATATATGTCTATAAGTAGTTAGGATGCCCTTACTAGGGTACTTGCAATGACAAAATTTGGGCAATCATTAACATTTAGTGATGGAATATGTTGGAAGATGGTGAACATCAGATAATGATTAGAAAATAGTTAAGTGACCGTGAGCATTAATTGATGACGGACCATGATTTATCAAGGTTGGTTGACATACTTACTTGTATATTAACCAACTTGGGGAGTCATTGGACGATTTGAAACATCATGATGGTTCCTCTCTAGAAAGGAAGGAGAATTAGGCGACAGAGAATAAATAAATAAAGTCGGATGAGAAAAATTAGCGATAAATAGACTGGAGATCTAAAGTTACCCCTATTTTGCTTTCTTGGAAGGAGGGGGCTGAGAAATCTAAAAGTTGATGAAGAAGAAGGTTGTATATGGGGAACTTTAGATAATGTGCTTTATTCCTTTGTTTTTTAAAGCTTTAAAATTCGTATAATCCTAGAAGATTCGCTTGAAAAAAATCTGAGATAATTTGCTTGCTCTCTAAGTGGCAGTCGAGGCTCTTAAAATTTTTTATGATATAATATGCCATGTCAGAGCTCTCAAAAGTTATAAGCTCAAAGAAGTTACCGTACTATAGTTATGATAATCAAATTGACTTGAACAATTTCAGAAACTTTATGGATCTAAGTTGTGGTCGATGTAGAATGATGATGACAGGCCATCATCTTAATGTCTAATCACTCTTCTCCATAAGAACATTGCAACAAAAGTAATGGTTCGGTAAAAAAATGGTTTTTGAGAAAATACAAGTGTTGTGGCGGTGGCTGTCAATAAACAATTACAATTATCAGTATTTTTAGTTGATTTTTCATATCATTAAGAGTAACCCAATAATATTATTGGTTCATAACCAAAAGTTTATTGAGATTGCTGGATTAGATTGTGCAAAAGTGGGCGCACCTCGTCATGATTAGATGACATAATATAGATGTGTGCGATAAGATTTGGCAATGGTAGCTAACACAACCTCTATGCATGTTGTATGATTCACTTGTGTGGTATGAATAAGGAGATAAGGGCAATCTATAGGATATTGTCAGTCAGTTAGTTGAATGACGCCTACTTAAATATATGTACCAGCTTGTCTGATTGGTAAGGTTCTTGAAAAAAATTCTGATGGTCATAAATTTGATAAACTGCATAATATTGAACTCCTGTCTTATAAGCTTTTGGGTGGGGAAAAAAAATTGTTAAAAATTAAAATTGCATGCGGAATAATTATTTTTGATAAATTTTAATTTGTCTATTTGAATGTTTTTGGAGATATGAAAATAATATCAATATGATCGGTTGAAAATTGTTTCAACCTTTCTAAAGATATCTTCAAGCATTCATTAAAATTTTATTTTTTGAAATTTGCTTACTATTTTTTTAAAAAAATATTTTTCTTGATGAACTTTCGAAAATAAAGGGAATATATTAAACTGACGAATCGTCTCTCACATATTTGCTAAATTTTCATCCAATTATTATCCTATTTGATTTGGGTATGGTTTGAACTTATTAAGGTTGTGAGTTTCGGGTCGGACCCGAAATCGACCTCCATATCCTAATTGACACCCCTATTTAAAAATATATATGTACTAACTGATCCCTTTGGTAGGGGTCTCTAAAAAAAGTTGTCTTGATCCTAAGTTTTAGGTGAGTACTAAATTTTAATACATATACTTAAAAAAATATGTACCAACTCAAATTCCATGCATGTTTATTACACAATGTTATAAGTGTGAATATTAAATGTTGGCTGTTAAATATGTAATTACATAAGAATTGTGATATGTTGTAAAATTCATTAAAACTTAATATTATTAGTTCATATCCCACCATAATAGTAATAATAATAATAATAAATAACTTCAAGAAATGGTAGAAATTGATATTATTATCTGAAGCTATAATAATTTTGTTCAAGCAAACGACAAATTGTTGCACGCAATTTGCATGCGTTGTGCGATAAGAAATTTTTTTTATATAAAAAAATGGGGTTCACTGACATACACTTTTGGTAAGAGGAGTGTTTTGATTGGTTCATCGCATGCATTTCTGCCTGCCGTGAATGTACACAATAAATTTTCCCTTGAATGAGCGAATTATTAGAAAATTTGTAAAAGATGTAGTAATATAAATTTCGTTAAAGAGTTTTAGTCGATGAGTTTGTGGAAAAATTCATTTGAGCCGATTATTTAACCTTAGTTAAAGGTATATATAGATTATAGAGAGCAAAAAGTCAGAAGATTTTGTTTAAGGTTAGATGTACCAAACTAAAGTTCTGAATTTATAAACTAACCAAACGATGACTATTATCTTTTCAATCAGTTTTAAACTTAGTTGGATGTTATTAAATGTGATAAAGTGATAAATTCGAAGTTCTAATTTATTTACCCTCAAGTATGGGTGATGAAGAAGACGGAGTTGCAGGTAAGGTTGGAAAAGCAGGGATAAATGGATGTTTTTAGCATCATTCTCATTTATTTGATTGTTGATGATCTGATCTTGGGCCGAGTTGTGGTCTGTTTGATATGAAATGAGCTGGCTTGAAACTGAATCAGATCGATTCGGATAAAAATCGAAATGAGCCGGCTCAAATTGTGTTTTATTTGGATCTGTTTCGGCTCGGAATAAACTCGATTTAGCTATAAATAGAAACTGGCTGGCTCAAATTGAGTTATTTGGATTCGTTTCTGCTTGAAATTTGTTCGTGATTTGTTACATTTGATTATACATAGCATTATAAAAAATATATTACATGCTGATCTCGTGTTGGTTCGAGTGGATCCATGTATGATAGGAACAGGCTACCACATAATATCTCTATTTTTTTAAATTTAGAAAAATAATATTCTCATTTTTTATTTCGGCCACAGATCAATCCTTGTCATTTTTTCATATTAATTTCTCTAACCAAAGGTAATGAAAATTATATGGAAGTTTCATGTTCAAATTATTTCCAAAATAATTAAAATTTGAAGTATTTAATTTGATAGAAATGTTATATGAATGCCCTAATACAAATTGTTTCATAAAATGAGCTTGAAGTTATAATGCAGATATTTCACACACTTAATATGACATTAATACTAAAATAAATTCAATAACGTTAATATAATTTATATTTTATTGTTCTAATACAAACTTAAGGATTGTAATTGAGCCCTTATAACACTAATACATAATATTTAAAATTTAGTATTTTATAATTTGCGAAATGAATATATCTGTGATAGGGTTTGTGTAGCTCCTGTGACAGACAAAATTAGAGAAAATCGTCTTAGATGATTTCATCATATTAAACGTAGACTATTTGATGATCTGATTAGGAGAGTAGATGTTTGAGATTCGACTTGTGTTAAGAAAGAAAGGCAGAGGTAGACCTCGCAGAGGTAGACCTCGAAAGACTTGGGCTTATTGTATAAAAAACGATCTTAATTTACTAGAACTAAATGAAAATATGACACTAAATAGGATTCATGGAGAAAAAAAGATTCATGTAGCCTACACCGCGTAGTGGTATTAAGGCTTTGTTGTTGTTGTATTGCTCTAATATGATGAATTGAGTGTGGCTAATATGCGGCCAGAGGAAAAAACAGCTTCAATCCATTCATCTCCGTACTATTCCATTCAAGAAGATTTACACAGATACCACTCAATTTGTATTTATTTACAAAACTTGGCAACAAAATACAAGTTTTTCAACAATTTAAAAATTAAAAACTTATGATATTTTTGTCAATATAAAAGATTCGTGTGCTTTAAATACATAAAAAAAAAAAGAAAAATTTAAATATTACATATGTAAACACACACTCAAATTCCAAAACAAATAAGTCTTCTTCCATTAATCAATACATGGAGCCGTGGTTGCCGGCGAGAGCCATATACTTATCCTTCCTGGTATAGCTGGTGCACTCATAGCCAAGCTTGGCGGCAATGGCTCTCTGAATGTAATTGGCGACCTCATGGCTGGACTTTCCGGCACCGCAGGTCTGGTCGGCTGGCAATTTATCGAGAAAGGTGACCTCATAGACGGGCGTCGGGTTCATGAAGAAGTAGAGGGAATCCAGGCCCTTCCAACCCCTCGCCGCCGTGCCGTGAAACATGCTGATTCTGCTCGCCATTCCCACCGGCACCATCTCGTCGCTCAGCTCGGCGAATAGGGCCGAGAATCGCAGCAGCAGGGGCTCGCGGCTCGTTGTGCCTGTGGACATTTGTCTTGGTGTGATGTGATAGTTTTTGAGGGGTATAAATATTAAAAAGAAAAAGTGTAGGGGTTTAGTATGTAAATGCATGGGAATTTGGGGTGGTTCGTAGAATGTTTTAAAATTATCATGACATTTTAATGAAGAGTTTTTGTTAGATTTTTTATGTCTTGTGATTAATTAGCTACTTAATAAAATAATTTAAAACACCAAGTCTCCCTTGTTGGACCAGATGCAGCTACCTGAGTCAAAGCTAAATGGCCACCGCATGTAGTCATTTGAGCCAAAGTCAAAAGCCGACTGAGTTAGAAGAAGGATAAAATGATGAATGATTCATCCAAATTTGAACCAATCGAACAAGAACAATATAAATAGACATCCAAGCCAACAATTATAAAAAGCTGATGAGAGCTGCACTGTACTTTATCGTTGCCGACTCCAATAAAGACCCAATTCCTCAATATCACCAGTCATCTCGCAGGCGCTCTCAAGACTCCCACTAGGGATCAATAATTGATAATAAAACAGTCTTACAATGATACCAAAGGTTTTCCTTGTTGAGTAATGAGCTACCTATCGGGTGACACAGTGATTCACAATCTACCTAATAGTCTTATATTGAGCTCCTCACAAGGGATTGAGAGTTGACAACCAAACTAAATCAACTTATTGATAAAGCCTAACCCATCAAATCAATCTTGTCGACTCGAAGCTAATCAAGCCTAACCAAACGACAATACCGATATAAGTTATTTAAACTTAGTGATGAGAATTGAAAAAAGAAAACAATATTAGAATATTATTTTTATAAATTAAACTTGTTTTGAATGTAATGAATAAAATTGTTGCATATTACAAAACAAAATTTTAACCTTAACATTCAAATTTAAACTGAGATAAAAAAAAAAAAACTTACCTTCCGGACAGAGGACGAGGTCTCCTTTCTTGAGCAAGCTATTAATGATGGCGGCATCCGTAATCCGGTGGCGGGGGGGCCGGGCAGGTTTGGAGGGGGGCCGG